TTTTTTTGTTTAGACTGATGATGATGATGCTTGGAGCGACACCTCAACCACCTCAACCACCTTAACCACCACCTCAAATATCTTCAACACCTCTGACCATGAACATGATAATAATAAATCTGATGAAGACGACGACGAATACAACGACGAAAACGATGACGAAGAATTAATTCAATAATGTAAGTCATAATTATTTAATATAATTATCATTTTATTTAATGTTGCGTAAGTTTATGTATTACTGACTTATTTTTACCAAAATCTTTCTTCAACATTTTCAAAATCTATATCAGTTTTTTTTTTGGTTTTTTGGGAGGGAATGGACTTTTTTTTTTACTATAATAGAACTAACGGAGGGAAATGGACTTTTTCATAACGTAATGTAAGCCATCTTTATTTAATATAATTAGTATTTTATTTAATGTCACGTAAGTTTATGTATTACTGACTTATTTTTACCAAAATCTTCAACATTTTTAAAATGTATTCAGTTTTTTTTTTGGTTTTTTGGGAGGGAATTGGACTTTTTTTTTTTTTTTTTGACTATAATAGAACTAACGGAGGGAAATGGACTTTTTCATTAATTCAATGTAATTATTAAGAGCTAAAAGGTTTTTAGAGTCAAACAAATTTTGAAGGCAGGTCAAACGTTCTGCAAGTATATATAAATGGTCTAAGGTTCTACTGTCTAGAGAATTTAAAACACTTTGTAAATGTATCTGTATCGATTAAGTTATTTGCACTTGTAGAGATGCAATTTGAGAATTTAATTTCTCAATCTCAACTAATAGATATAATTGAGAGGGATTTGTATATTATTAGAATTTCTTTTAAAAATGAAAAGTTTTTGTCAATAGGTTTATTAAGTTCTATGTGATAAACCTCCATTTGATTATCTGAAGAAAGTCTTTCAAGAAATTTATGGTAGAATTCATCATCTCCTATATTAATATATCTTGCAATTTTCTTGAGTTTAATATAATAAGAACCTACAGAATTACTTTTTTGCACTATTATATTAAATAATGCTTGTTGATACTATTGCCTAATTGTAGGATAATTTTCTTTAAAGTAATCAATTAATTACCTAAAAGTAATATCAGCTAATACAATTATTCTATTTAACAAATTTGTATTTAGTACACATATAACTTTAGATATTAACTTACTTCCTATTGACGTCTAATCTTCATTGAAATCTGTATGTCAGAAATCATTAAAGCACCAGCATCAGTATTGACCATTACAAGTTATGCATTAAATCCAGCTATTACCATAAGTAATAAATGTTCTACAATTCATGCTCATTTATCACCTTGTAATTGTGTCAAAATACGATTTATAGTAGAGATAATATTAAATAATTTCCAATTTTTACTTACTATCTCTTTTTCAAACCATTTAATTGCTTTACCTTTTAAGTATAATTTAAAAAAACCTAATATACTGATCCTATCTGCATTATTTATCAAATTGTTTTCAAAAGTAATTAAATACCTCCTGAATTTATTAATAAAATAGTTAATATCTTTATCGTAATTTTTACTAAACTTTACAGAATATATCCTGTTATTCTTATATATTATATATTAGGTTGATTATTCTGTAATACCAAAATTTGTTATTGCAAATTTAAAATATTTTGGTCACAAACCTGAACTTGATTTTGTAAATTCTTATATTATCTCTTTTAATTTTGTGTTTAGCAAACATAATCTGCATGCCTTCTTCTCTAGTATTTTATATTATTATTATAGTGTACTATTAATCTATATGCAGTTCTTCTATGCTCAACAATTTGAATATCCTAATGATCAGTAGACAAAATTTTCATATAACAATTCACTAATACACTCTTACCTATTTTGAGCTAATTGTCAATATTCTCTATGTGTTTCTATTTTATTATTTAAAATATTCATATATATTTACATAATTCTTTCAACCTAAGTTTAGAATTCATCTAACAAATATTGTAACTGTAAATTTTGATTTTCACTATCATTTAACTAATTTCTAAAATTATTTACTTGCTAAATTGAATTATGTAATAATATATGCTAAACATGTTACATACAGATCATTTTCATATTAAAAAATTTTTTATGTAATTATAATTGAGTTACTTTACTTTATAGTTAACTATCGTAAAATATTATACTTATCACTTATATTAATTAAAAATTAATAGATCATCATGTGTCCAATCAATTTTAACCATTAATTTTTCTTTTAAAGTTTTTTTTTTACATTTATATGAAGTTTTACTTTAAAAATAAGTTTTTCAAGATCTTCTTTCAAGTAGATACAAATATACAACTTTAAAAATAAAAATATATGTAATTTTATGGGAGGAAAAATATTCTCTTAGGTTGTATAGTGTATTATTTAGTTGGATTTTATGTAAAATACAAAAAATTGAATTTTTATATTATAAAAATTTTATGGTGAGAAATTTTTAATAAATACTTTGAATTTAAATACAATTTGGCTGAAATAATAACTTTTATTAAAGATAAGTAATTTATATTTTTCTTTGAATAACACTATTGAGCTAAACAAACAATATTAATAAAATACTAAAAAATATGTAAAAATAAGAAAGATTATTAAACAATAAAAAAATAATATATGTTATTAATTTAAAAATTATATATTATAGGAGATTATTGAAAAAAATTTAATATTTTATATTAATATTCTATTTTAATAAAATATAAAATATCTGTAAAAAAAAAAATTTTCATTTAGTATTATTTTTTTTTAATTAATAAAAAAATTTTTAAAATCAAAAAATTATCATTAAAATTAAATATCTCTTATTAATATAACATATTTTTTATTTTAAAATTGTTTATATTACTTTTACATATTAAAATCAGCATAAATAAACAACTTGTTTGAAGAGATCTTCTTAAAACTACTAAACCATTTAACTTTTAAATCTTACAAAAATGTTTTTGAGAAGTGAGCGAATGTTTTACATAAGACAGAAATTCAAAAATGTTAATAATATCATACAGTTAGCTTATACATAAAATCAAAAAAGTGTGAAAATTATATAAAATTTTATCAATTAAATAATTAACATCTATATAAATGTCATTTACTATGATCAAAATACAACATGTTCAGCGTATGATAAGTTCTAGTATTGATTCCTCTCAGTTGTGATATTTTGTAAAGTAACCTGAATAGTATTTAACGAGCCTCTAATACCATTTATAACATTAGTAAGATTCTGCATAGGCGTATCAACTCCCCTAATATGATTTTTAATTCATTTTAATTCTTTATTAATATTTACGATAAAATTAGTTGTTACTATAACTAAAGCATTTATTAAGATTTTTTATCTATAAGAATTCAGATTCTTGCTTTAAGATTTTCAATCTTATTTTCAAGTTCTATGATTCAGACATCTTAAATAGATCTAACCTTATTTTTGATTTTTTATTTTGTTATAAAACCCTAAGCTGTTTTCGTAAATTAGATATTTCTGATTTAAATTTCTCTATTTCTTTCTCATAGGCTATAATACTATTATTCTAAAATGAGATAATTCTATAATATTGCTCAAGCTTTTTTATAAGAGATTGAATTTTTTTCTCATTATTCTTATTAATAAAAATTTCATCTCGAAGTTCACTATGAAACTCCTAATTTGTATCTAAAAGCTATGAATATACTAAATCAAACATACTATTATTCAGCTCTGATTTATAATATTATCATAATATTCCTATTTTAAGAATGAGTCAACCCTAAATTGTGATAGATCTCGATGAAAAGCTTTGTATAGTCTATAGACTTCTATTTTATAATATACCTAATTTTCATCTTAATGCAAAAAATTACATAAAGTATGTTAGAAAGAAGAATATTTTTTTCAATTATAAGATATTATAAAATGATTAAAATACTAATATAACTATAAAATCTATCAACAATCATTACTATGTAAAGCTGAAATGAGTTTTTCAAAAATTAAGATTTCAAATAAGGTTCACCAATACGATATTTTGCTCTATCTCATAATGATCAAAATAGTAGAAAGATATTTATTTATAGTTTGCTAGTTATAAATATGATAATACATTTTAAGGATGAATATATATTAACATCAAGAAGTAGTTTAGAAATCTGAAATGTAATCAAAGATATATACAAGGATCTCTCTAATTCACTCACATGGCCAGCATTATTAATAACTGATAGTAATATCTCATTCTGAGAAGCATTTTCACAAGAAATAAAATAGTATAATATTCTGATATGTGTAGTTGATCTCTATAATTTCTAGAGCCTGGCTTTAATTAAAGTATTCAAGAAAAATTTAGCGAAATTAATAAATAAGATTCAATATATTATAGAGAGATGACTATCTGAAGAAAAATGATCACAGTTATAAAAAAAGATATTTAGAAAGTATATTGACTATATAAATAATAATAAAATTTACCTTATTGAAATATCACTAGCTCATGTTATGACTCTGAAAGAAGTTGAATCAAAACTTTCTAGTAAAGCTAAATGAGCAATTGAAAGGCATAAAAAAATAAAGTTAAAGAAGAGTATAGCAGTTAGATATCTATTAAAATTAGATGAGTTGAAAGGTAATCACAGGCATCAAGTAACTGATTCATACTGGTTATTATGTATTTACAAAATCAAAAGAGTTGTTATTAGAAGGAATTCATCACAATCAGTCTTATATTATTTCGTAAATAAACTCATTAAATCAACTACTCATCTGATAAGATGAAATCCTAAAAGACCTTTTAAATATAAGAAACTTTAAGTAATAGAGAAACTAGATAAAATTGAGTATTTACCTGATGAATTTATGTAAAAATACCACTCTACTGGATTTGTCCATTACATTCAAATTGCTAATGATAAATTGACTAAAACCTATTAATATGCTAAAAAACATAATGATTAATATTTCAGCAAAATTGGTCAAATAAATAGTCATGATGTATATCTTTAGTCTTGTGAAAATGTTGCACATCAGTGAGAGTATCTACTAAAATATATCATGAAAAAATTTGAATAGTATCTGTTATGCCACTATAGAAGTGTCAATGCTGATATATTTTGAGGATTTGCTAAGCAAAAACTTCCATCATATAGACTAAATTTTTTAGATAGAATGCAACTTGATAGATATAATGAGAAATTACATCTTACATTCAAATTTTAGAATCCCTAATATCATCATCACATTAATCTATATTATTAAAAGAATAAAACTTTAGAAATACAAAAGATATGTAATCAAAAAAGCAGGATATTTGCAAGAAGCAAGATATATATATAACTTATCGAAGTTTCCTATACTGTTGATTTTTTTTCCTATATTAAGCACATACTTATTGAAAAAAGATTCTTAAATAATTCTTCAAGTTAGGTTAGAAAGAATTATTTTCTTAACAATTTTCTATGATGATTATTATGCAAATTTGCAAGATTATTTTTAGAATATTATTAGTAATTGATCGACATAAAATAAAGAAACTTGAGCCAGTTGAAAAGTTTATATATCATATTAACGAAATTAAAATACTTAAAAATATAATGCCAATTCCAATACTCCTTAATGGCCTTTTACTTTATTAATCTGTGGCTATATTAATTCAGAAAAAACTAATGAGGTTTTCAATCTTATATTAGAAAATAAGTTTTATCAAATATTTAATAGAAAGAAAGAAAAGATATGTTATATTAAGTATGATAATTTACTATTAATTAGTTACTAACTCAAGGAGCTAAAATATATGTACTCAAATCAGCATTCTAGATAATTGCAAATAGTCTAAAGTCATATTGTAAAAATATTACATTTCAAGCTTTGAAGCCTGATAAAATTTTTAAAGTAGATTCATTTTCTCTAGATAGAAGTACAACAACTATATTCAAAGATGTATGTACTGATCTGAAAAAAGTGTAGGAGAAAAGCATCCCTTATTTTGTTAAGAGACGATATTATAACATCAGTTCAATATATGTATCCCAGAGTTATTTTGACTGCCTAAAGATAATATGAAAAAATCTCACACATATCTGCTTATTTAATGGGTTATGCATTACAGATGAGCTAATTAGAATTGTGCATCAATATGTTAATAACTGGCATAGTATGATTAAATTATTAACAAACATTTATGTGAACAAAAATTTATTATTTTTAATCTAACTGTACTTCGCAAATATCTACACAGGATATGTATCAGCTAAGATA